CCTGCTGCTGTCATCCATTTAGTCCCTGAACACCGAGGGTGGGATTTTCAAAAGAGCACAGGCAGCTATTTCCTGTGCTCCGACCTGTGGGGCACCTCAGCACTCCTGGTGGAGTAGATCCTCATAGACTAAGGCCATGTTCGACCAACTCTATCCTGTTTCTGTGGACCAGCTTCCCCAAGGCTTACCTTCCAAAGAAACATAAATATTCTCTGTGCTCCTTTTCCCCTCAGTTTTGTGTTTGTGTGAGTTGCACTGCTTCCCAGTGTAAGCCTTGAAAGGCTGAGATATGCAGTATGTAAAATGCTGTGAGTACTGCAGCCTCTAGGTAACGCTCCAAGCATTTCTGTGCCTGTGTACTCCAATTGGGAGGGAACTGCATAATGGTGGCACTAGCCTGGAAACACCTATCCTAAATGACTGGCAGCACACCTTGGTAGTTACAAACTGTTTTACTATTAGCTATATGTATTACTATTACAGAAGCCGAGCCGCTGCCAGCAATCACAGGGAGTTAATAGTACTCCTGGTACTGTAAGATTCAAAGCCAGTAATTATGGCTTGGTGGAGGAAGGGCATCTAAAACGAATTTAAATGAGTCCAAAAAGAAAGTTGTTCTTGCAAAGAAGTTAAGCCACCATTCTAGACACAGAATAGTAATTATACATATAAGAAATTGGTTCACAAAAGGATCTGCTAAGTTATTGAAAAATTCCTGTCCCTTCTTCTAGACAACACCATTTAGGAAAGTGCAATTTTCAAGAGCAGTTGTGGCCTGCCAGGCTTGAGTAATTTACTCAAAAGTACTAAGAGGCTCAGATGCAATGAGCAGAGAGGACTTGGTATCATTTGCTTCTTAGTAGCAGTGACTACTAGATTTGCCTCTATTATTCTCTCATGTTTTGGCCAAAAGACTGGCAGAAGAAACTGCAACATAACATTACCCGTGTCCTGCAGTGAAGAACTGCCCTGAGGAGTCTTGCACAATGGATGGGAATGGGGTCATCTTAAAATGTATTTGGTATATGCTTTGAAAATCCCTTTTCACAGTTCCCAAATACAATTCTTACTGCTCTACATAGTGCTGATTAAACACACCTGTACCCAGCAATACTTTTTTTTTTTTTTAATCACATCCTGGGCTTAGTTGTATGTTTGTCATCTTTTAAAGAAGAGGAGAAAACAGGTAGATATGTTCCTCTCCAGATAGGAAAGTTTCAGAACACATGGAGCTGAAAGGCATTGCCTACCTCTGCTTCCTTTCCTCCTTTTCTGCATTCTTTGTCATTTTAGCCTCCTCTTTCCTCTGACCTGCGAAAGGTGAAAGATGGGAGATCTCGAGTGAAGTTTTAGTTCATTCTTAGTAGAGCCCCATTCCTTGTTCTGGCAGAGGAGTTGCAAGTAGAAACATAGGGAATGATACTCGTGTCAGAGGAGGCTGGTAGATAAAATTTTCTTATTTTCTAAACTTCACTGGAGTGCAAGGTATCTAATTCCCCTCCTTTGTGTTCTGCTCCCAGCTGCCAAGCCCTTTTGCTTTAAGAAATCTATTTAGAAGCCCAAAGCTGAGTCACATATTTTCAACACTTTCTTGCAGCTGTTACCTGCTAAAGGTTCCCAGCAATGGGAATCAAGGGAATCAGTTGCTACATCGACAGAATCATGGAATAGATGAGGTTGGAAGGCACCTCTGGAGACTGTCTGTTCCAAGCACCCCTGCTCAAGCAGGGCCAGCTACAGCACCTTGCCCACGTGTGTGTCCCTTATGGTTTTGAGTGTCTCTCAGGATGGAGGCTCCTAACTTCTCTGGGCAACCTGTTCCACTATTCAACATTCCTCACAGTGAGGAGGTCTTTTCTTCAGCTCAAATAGAGTTTTCTGTGTTTCAGTTCGTGCCCA